AGTGTTGGATCTTGGATCCACTGCCAGGGGCCTCATACATTGTCCCAGCCACACCACTATCACCTATATTAAGGGAATCTAGTTTAGTCTTATGCAGGTTTTCCATTTGTCAGACTGGAGTCAGGGATCTCTCACTAGCTCGGGTGAGCTGATTTTGTGGGTTTCCCCATCATGGTCTTGACTCCTTTGTTCATAGTATTGCTCCTCTCTCACTTTGATTGTACTCCAGGAGCTTGGCCCATTGGTTAGTTGTGGATTTCTGCATGTGTTTCCATCTGTTTCTGGAAGAGGGTTCTCGCTTCTCTGGGGTTGTGAATTGCAGGCTGGGTATCTTTTGCCTTATGTCTGGTATGGTGGGCATGTTTTTTAAACCCAGTAGTGTTTGTTGTTTTCAGTTAGCCAACTAGACGCACTTGTTTTACTTGTAACTATCTACTGGTGTTTGGGTTTGTGGTTCATAACTTCTCAATGGAAGGCTCACAAATAGGAAACTAGGAAACAGACCTTTACAAAGAGATCCCTAAGAAGTAAGAGAAACAAAGGAAGGGAGCAATAACAGCCTGGAGAATGGAAGAAAATGAAGTTAACACTGTCAAATACCCCCGAGAGAGCTGGACAAGATAAAGGCTGTAGGTCGTGTATGCCTTTAGAGAGAGCATGCTCTGTTAAATGGGGTTAGAAATCAGATGGCCCAGGGCTGAGGACTGAGTGACTCTCAGGGACAAGGGGAAATGAAGGGAGACTGCTGCTTCAGACTGGAATGCATTCGGAAGGAGAGAGATTGAACGCAGGGCAGTGAGGGAGGGAGTGATCCGCTTGTTTTTGTTTTGTTTTTGGATAGAAGTCTACAGAGTCTAGTGGGCAGAAGAGAAAGGCAACACTGAAGACAAGGTTGAAGACAAAGGACAAACGGAGTTAATGGATGGCAAAAGGTCTCCATCTGGGGAAAAGGATAGACTCAGACACAGGCTTTGCCTGACTAGCAGGAAGCACTGATCCTGCTTTGAGATTGGAGGAAAATAGGAATGTTTATAGAGAAGAAATTGCAAGGATACACCAGTCATTTCTGCACAGTGACCTCAATTTTCTCATTAAGATAGTAGGTGCACTGAGTGAAGGAGAGACTCTGTGGCTGAATCTGAAGGTGTCAGACTGCAGTCAGCGGGCAGGGATTACTGAATGCTGTTTGGAGACTAACTCAGACTAAAAAGCAGACTCGGCTAAGTCATATGGTTTGCTCATGTGGTAATTACAAAGGCCTTTAAAGGCAGAGAGGAGTCAAGGTAGTTTGGGCTCAAGGTCACATGTTCTTTCTGGGGAAACAAGCTGAAGAGCAAGGGAGAGCAAGCAGCCGGTGCACATGCAAAATCCCAATCTGACTGGGAAAGAGTATGGAAAGCCCAAAGGCACTGGGATTTTCACTAAGTATGTAAAAAAATGGGAGAGGAAGGTAAAAGCACCACCTAACTTCTTTATTTTAGTTTTTCCCACCCTCTTTATGTTCAGGCTTACCATTTTGAAAAACACATTATAAATATAAGATTAGGAAGAGACCATCAAAGAAGTTTAAAAATGCAAGTGGTCAAACAGCAGCACCGTTCACTTAAACAAGTGAGACATTGTAGCCAAGTATGAATGTTACCGGTGAAGGGCTTTCTGTTTGATATAAACAGGAGTCCTTGAGGTTCTAGATGTTCAGATTTGATTAGTGATTTTCAGATGCGGGTTGTTTTCATTCAGTGAGACAATGGGCAGTTCAAAGACATCCTAGAGTGGGGTACTAGAGGCATGTGCTAGGCACATTCCACAACACACAGAATCCCAACGATGTTAATAGTGCTGAGGTTGAGAACTGTATATTGGGCCAAATCTTTGTCAGAATTACAGAAGAATAAGGCCAGAAACCATCTAGATAATCCAGAGAACAGAAACCGACAGAGAAGGGCAGGACCACAACAGATGAGCAGGACCACATCGGGTGGTGCCAGGTTGAGCTGTGTGCATTCAGGGCTCGTTTGTGAGAGGAAGGGGAGTCTATAGGGAGCTAGATTCATGCTATGTGTTTGAGAATGATCCCTGGGATAGCAAATTTATAAAACAAAATTTGGGAAGATGAAATCAAAGAAATTGAAGCGAACACATTTGCTTTGGCAAAGTCACACCTCAGGTACCCTTAAATAAAAGTCTTCTTATATGAATGTGGGAAGGTCAACATAGGTTTGAAATAATCTATGACCCAACAGACTGACATTGTACAAAAAATCTTCAGTTTCTTTGTAAGTTACTAACAGTCTTCTGCCTTGCACATCGTCTTTTTCCCCCCATAATTTTGGTTTTCTAAAACAGATACACGTTGCCTTTGTAGTCAGCTCTTAGAGCCATCTATTAATCCTCGCTGCATCATAAACTAAACACTACCTGCTAAAGTTTAATTCAGACAGCTAGTAAACAAACATGGTGCTCACTCTGTGATCCTGTTACTGCTACAATGCAGGAATCTTAGTTTTTTCAGTTTATGTGATGGATATATATGTGTCTTTTAGAAGACTGAGGAATTGTTATACTGTTTTTTTAAAATTCTATTTGGGTTTTTGTTTAGTTAGACTTTGCAAAGTCTACTGTTTCCAGTGACTAGACTGCCTTGAGAAACAAGTAGACCAAGTGTATGCCACACCAGGCACAGTTTTGAGATGTTTTGCAATCCAATCTCTGTCTTATTATTTGAGTAGCAAAATTTTCCCCTTAGTATTCACCTGAAACGAAATCAAATTAGCTTATAATATTTCTATATAGAAAACTAAGATTTTCATTTGTGTCCAGTTTAGTCAAGGCTGAATGGCTTTCATGTGATGGGCTCATCTCTAGTTAAAACAGGATATCAAAAATGAGAAAGACCATCTGGGCTTTAAACATCTTCACACTCATGTGTTCAAAAATATATAATATAGGAAAATTCCAATCCAATTATCATCAAAGCAAACCTGAAAACTTGTTAGTAATAAATAACTACTTATGCAAAGACAAATAGTTATAATTTTTACCCTTTTAATAAGTTAATTGGTAGATCTGTATTCAATTGCACTTTAATCCAAATAATGACATTTTAAATGTATGTATGAAATACATTTTCTTAAAAATAATATGTTATCTTTCTGGTGAAATTGAGGAAGGCGACTTTCATTCACATAGGACAATTGTGTGTGTCCAGCACCTAGGCGTAAAGTCTACACCACCATGCCCGGCATCCCTTCACCTCTGCAAAGTCTAATGTTTTCAGTTTTTTGATTGTTTTAATTTAAAAACAAGCAAACAAGCAAAACTTCCTTGAAAAAGTTCCAGGTCCTGCTACCCATTCAGCTGTGATCCGAGTAAGATCCCTTGGGAGCTCATAGCATCCCACCTCACCCTGTTAGTCCTTCCCAGTCACCAGGAAATGGCTCTAGTGAGGGTAATGAAATTAATGCAAATCAGGCAAAAAGGCGAGTTGGTGGGGCTCCCTTTGTTATTTTCATAGGTGTTTGCATAACTATTTTCCACAACATTCAATTTGCAAGTGTGATCAGGAAACCTCCTCTGCCTGAGATTCCCTGAGTTCTTATATATCTGCTTGTAAAGAGCTACTGTAAAACAACCCATTGGGTGTGAGCTGAGATAGACCAAACATGGTTTTTAGGGTACAGACTCTTGGTTTTCTACACTAATGCATGGAAAACATGAGTAATCCCCACATGATTCCCACTTGGCTTTAGAATTCATTACACGCCCTTCTACAACCTAGCTTTCTCTTTTTAAATTATGTATTGAATTAATAATAAAATTAGCTCTGGGTAACATATTCATTGGAAAACTGTTGGCAACAAAGACCATTTCTTACTCATTTTCAAATAACCAAAGCATTTAATCCACTGGTTTATATATGGCAAATCCTAAATAAGTAAACCAACCCTTAGATGAATAACAAAAGCCAAACTGAAGACAAGCCTGGCCAAATCAAAATAAAAGTCCATCAGACCTTTTAATTTAAAATCACAATCTACGACAATTGGCCTCACGATATCAAGGAGGAAGAAATCATTTACTGCTTAAAAGGATTCCATGATTGTAACCTTTAGCCCATGCTCGTCATAACTTCCAGATGCATAGTTTGTGTCAGTTATTATTATAACAAGCTATTTAACAATAACCTAGCTTGTTTTTCTTTATAGGATATGTTTGGTCATCCATCATTTCATAGCTGGTGATTTTTCTTCACAAAAGCAACTCTTAAACTTTTAAGAGAGTCAGATAATGAATTTAGTTATATGTGTGTGTGTGTGTGTGTGTGTATGTGTGTATATAACATATATACATAAAATTCTTTGAGAATGTCATATAACACCACTTGATCACATTTATCACCAACTCCTCTCCATGATCCCTCTCAGATGCTCCACCGTCTCCCTCTTCCTTAGTGCTCCCCCTCATCCCCCCTCCTCCCCCCTTTTTTGAAGAGACCATCTTCCAGCAGATGTCATGGTTTCCTCACTCTTACAATCTTTCTACCTTCTCTCTTGTGAAGTTCTCTGAATCTGAAGTGTCGGGTTTGTGAAACTAGTTTTCACTACATAACCTTGGGCTGGCCTGCATGGCTAGACTCCTAGAGAGCCATTAGCCTCTGCCTCCTAAATGCTGGGATTGAAGGCATGCACCATCATGCCTAGCTACTAATGTAATAAGAAATAAAGTATATAGACATGCCTAGTATTTATTTTCCTGAGGATGGTGCTATCTTCTGAAAATGAGAGAAATTAATACTTTTTGAATCACCCCTAATGCAACTAAATACTAAAGTTCTGATACAGATAAGATTTCAAAGACCCCAAAGATTCGCTGTTAAAATCATGTACATTAAGTAAGAACATTTTCCTTTCCCAGTTACACATTAGCAGTTATAACCTGGGACAACGGCACAGTTCCATCTGGTGCTTGAAAGCATGACAATAATAATGGAGGGAACTCACCTTGTGGCCTCATGAACTGCAGGATCTTTTGTAAAGTCTATGCTTCTGAAAATACTTTTTCAGTCTGTTGATATCTTCTTATTTTTTTCTTAAAGACAAAAGAAAAAATAACCATGTTTCAATGTTACATAAGATTCTATTTTCAAAGAGCAAAACTGATCGCAAAAACAGCAGTCCTAACTAAACTCAGCTTTCTTCCTACCCCAGTAGCTAAAGAGAGGATTGTAACTACAGAGAGCAAAAGTCCTTGAGTTACTGGCATAACTTTTAAGCTACAACCTCAGATTTCTAATGGCTCCCCAATAGTGTGCTTGGTAATCTATACTTGATTTCTGTCATACAAATAAATTAATAGTCCCTTTGAATTTTTCTCCCTATCTGTTAACTCTTGGTTTATGTTACCAGCTCTAGAAAAATTAAGACACCACAATTCAGGTTGCTCCAATTCCTACCTATCTCCCCTCACTTCATGGGTGTCTCTATATTGTTAATCTTTAGTCCCATCGTACAGACAAATTTCTCTCAGCTACCTAAGGACAATTTCTCTGTGAAGTCTCTGATTTCACTTCCTCTTACTGCTAGGTCTTTACTACGTCAATTATACCCTTTCTTTTTCCACATCATTGCTAACATCTTTTTATCCTCCATTTTTCTTGCTCATTAACACCCGCATGTAAAAATGCCACGAGACCTCCCATCTTCAAAACACACATTTTCTCTTACAAGAGCTCTCCATCTCACTATTACAATATTTCTGCATTTTATAAGAAAACTTCCGCAAGAAGGATGTTCTCCATTTCTCAGCAAAAGTTGAACTCATTCAAACCAAGGTTCTTTTCCACTGCTTCACAAAGACTTCCCAGGTCAGCAGTGAAGCTGAACATTACCAAACCACCAAGGACGTCTCAGGTCTTTACACCCTCAATGCCCAGGACAGTGAGACTGGGATGCTTACTGCCCATTTATTGAGTCATCCCATCATTCGACTGCAGAGTGAGACTGCATTCTCCTGGCTTCAGTTGTACCTCGTTTGCCATCTTTTCTCAACCTCTTTGCTTGATTTTTCCCTGTTAGCAGATTCAGGTATGAGTTCTTTTTTAACACAATCCTAAGAAATTATGTCCAGCACTATGTCTTTAAATAATGCTATTTATAAATAAATCTAATAAATTCAGAGTTTTAGAACAGACTTCTACTCTGACCTTGAGAGTAGCAGGTGCTTTACACTCTATTCTATAGTTTTACCTGAATAGCCAACAGCCTTATCGTATTTGAAATGTCCACAAATGCAATGAAAAGAAAGGAAAGAATGAAGGAAGACAGACACAACAGTTTGCCTCCTCTAGGCTTTCTGTTTTCCCCGTTTAAGTATATACTGTCACTATTTACATTTATACTTTTTATTTGTGTTGTATGTGGTTATCTGCCAGCCTGGTCTATAGGGTGAATTTTAGGACAGCCAGAGCTACACCAAGAAACCTTGTCTCAAAATCAAAACAAAAACAGAAAGAAAGAAAGGAAGGAAGGAAAGAAGAAAGAAAGAGGAAAGAAGGAAAGAAGGAAGGAAGGAGGGAGGGAGAGAGGAAGGGAGGGAGGGAAGAAGAGAGAGGCAGGGGGGGGAGGGAGGAAGGAAAAATAGCACCTATGCTACTCCTGGTGTATACATTGACTCTGTCAGTGACCTCACAGAGGAACCAGGGTATCCATGTTTACTGAAACACTACTAACCATAGACAAATTATGGAATCAGCTGTCTGTCAACAAATAAAAATATAAAGCACAATAGAGTTTAGTTTAGCCTTAATAAAGTGAGAGAAATTATTGCATTTGCTGGTTAATAGATGCAGCTGGAGATCAGCCTAGTAAATAAAATTAGACTCAGAAAGACAAATATCTTGGGCTTCCCCCTATTTGTGAATCCTGGCTTGTATATAGAGACATAGAAATCATATATTTTTGAAAGTATATGTGAAAATAGAAGTGAGACTGGGCAGCAGAGAGAGACCAGAAGGGAAGAAATGGAAGGGCATGAGTGTGAATAGGCTATATGCCATACTTGAATGAAAAAGTCTTATGAAATGAATCACTACATGCATACAATATAAGTCATTCAAAGAGACAACATTATTTAGTTTGTGTCATCTAAACTGTCCCAGCCTTAAGCATCAAGAGCTTTGTTGGGTTGGATATTGTATGCTTTCAGTATACTTAATACACTTAAACATATACAAAACTCTGCAAATCAAAAGCAAAGATAAAGCCTAAATACAACCCACTAGTTTCAAAAAGTCTAGCATCATGTCAGCTCTGCCTTGGAGATGTCTCTATCTAACACGGCCATTTCTCCCTTAGCCTCTGTTCCCACACGGCTCCATGTCCCCATCTGGACTTCCTGTTTCTTCTCTTTCCGGTTCCTGCAAGTATCAGCCTCCTGCCAGCCATCTTCTTCTGCGTTCTGTTCTTTCCCCCTTGAAGTATTCTCCTGCCCCAGGTATTAATGGCCCACTCCCTGAACCCGTCAAGCCTTCACCAAAGTCCCCCTTGGGCAAGGATGCCATTACTAACTTACTGTAATACCCTTTCTTCATATTTTCTGACTCTACCTTCTTTGTCTACATCACAAACTTGTCATGTAATTTTATTTGTTTGCTTATGATATACCTTGATGACTAATACAAATATTATCTTTTATTATTATTATTATCTATTACTATTAACACAGTGAGACTACCTTATTGAATAAATAAAACTGTTGCCAGAACCATAGGAAATGCTGTACTTGTACCCCAAAGTGTAAAAGGGTGCATTTTGCCTCATCTTGGGAAGAGTGATCTGTCAATGTATACTGTGTTATTTCCACTTGATACATCCATCCAACAAAGTTGAGGCAGCAATATATTTAAGGACATTTTAAAAATATTATGTGTTGGGGGCATATTCACAGTAGAATAAAAGCTACAATGAAGAGAAAACTCTCACAGGGGAATAGTTATCTAAATTTTACATGTCCTTATGCTGCAATGCTATGTAATCATTTTTTAAAAAGTAAAATAAATCTATGATAAATAGCATTGGGAAATTCCATGTGCTGTCAAGTGAGTAAACAAGTTTTCCGAATAATGTATATGATTCGTGCTTTTACAAAATGCTGTCATGGGAATATGCATGTTTAGATTAAAACAGGAAAGGCTATAAAGCAGACAGTGGAAGAGTTACTTACAGGGGGAAGAGAGAGAAATTGGATTAGAAAAGAAAAAAACAAGCAATTTCTGTGATATGAAGATAAATAAAAACATGTCTGTATGAAAGCAATCAAGTTTAAAGCTCCCAGCTGCTTATAAACACACTTACAAACAAACCAGAATACAGTGTGCACAATATTTTATTCTATTTTGAAAAACACTTTGGATTTTTAAAGTTGATATTAGGGTTTCTTCAAGTCACAAAGAAAATGAAGAATTGCTAAAATTGACCAGACTCCCAGGAAATGCATAAGTACTTACAGATGGTCTTGAGAAAACATCTAAATGGGATACTGTGTCTGCATACTTTCATGGTCAACCACAGAAAACAGAAATAAACCCTAAGAAAGAATAAGCAATGTCCCCTGGCATGATTGAAACTCTAGTTAATTCAGCAGCCTCAAGTATTGTGGGATAGTTGTAAACCGTGTGAAGGTGTATTTCTGTGATTGGTGCAATAAAAGGCTGAATGGCCAATAGCTAGGCCAGGAAAATATGCATAGAGAGAAACTGGGGTTGAATCTAGATGCACAGAGGAGAGACACAGAGGAATCAGGATGGGTGGTCCATGGCAGAACACAGATTAAAATAAATGAATTAATGTAAGTGCTAAGAGTTAGGGAAAGGGGGCTGGAGAGATGACTCAGAGGTTAAGAGCACTGGCTGCTCTTACAGATGTCCAGAGTTCAATTCCCAGCAACCAATGGTGACTCACAGACATATTTAATGACATCTGGTGCCCTCTTCTGGCCTGCAGGCATACATGCACGCAGAACACTGTGTACATAATAAGTGATTAAAAGAAAAAGAGAAGCCGGGTGTTGGTGGTTCACTCGGGAGGCATAGGCAGATGAATCTCTGTGAGTTCGAGGCCAGCCTGGTCTACAGAGCGAGTTCCAGGCCAGCCTCCAAAACAATACAGAGATACCCTGTCTCGAAAAACAAACAAAACAAACAAAAAAAAAAAGAAAAGAAAAAGAGTTAGGGAAAGGTCTAATCTATAGATTCATAATTTATAAGAAGTCTCCATGTCATTATTTGGGAGTTGGCAATACAGATAAAGATTTGCTACACTCAGGTGCCTGACTTAATAGCTATGATGGACATTTTCTGTCCAGCATATCTTAGTCTAGAGGGCATGAATGACCAAATAAGGTCTTACCTGATGGCTAGGGCAACCTTGACAATATTTATTCTCTTTGAAGAGGAGGACTAAAGGCTGCAGGGATGTCTCGTCAGTTAGGAATGTGTACTGCTCTTGCAGAGAATCTGAGTTCAGTTCCCAGCATCAATACCCAGCAGCTCAAAACTACCTGTAACTACAGCTCCAGGGGATTCTGACGCCCTCTTTCAGTTTCTGCAGGCATCGTACTAATTGGACATGACCACACATAGATAGACATAATTAAAAATAAGGACACCAAGGAAACAAGGTCTTCTAAATACTGTAGGACTTGGGCGCGTACAAACTCGAGAGAGTGGGACAGTATGCCCAGCGCCTGCACAGGTATAAGCCCTATGGAGTCCCTGCGCTAAGAGGGAGCGTGGATGCAATCCCCATCCTTAAACCAGAAGCTACCTCCAGATGACAAAGGAAAAACTGGTTTTCTCCCATCGGGTCTCCCTGGGTATAAAACTACTTTTAAGGGCAGGCCCATGCCCAGGAGTAGATGAGGCACACAAAATGAACTCAGTGGAATTTTCTGGAGTTTTGTTGTGTTGTAACGCTTTGCAGGGCATTTTTTTCTTACCTTATCTGTCATTTGCTTATATATTATGGGGTCTAGTTTTGCATTTTAATGGGATTTCTGCATGTACCAACATGTGTGGCTCTATGACTGTATCT